CATGTTTCTTAATAATGGTGCCCCCCCAGTGGTGCATGTTTCTTAATAATGGTGCACCCCCCAGTAGTGCATGTTTCTTAATAATGGTGCACACCCCAAGTGGTGCAGGGTATGCCTGCGGGCCTACAGTGCTAGAAACCGGGTTTGGATACCCGTGGTGGGCAGAGTAGATAGCCCATCGTGTAACTTTGTGCTTAATTACAAAACAAAGAATAATAATGGTACATTTACTTTACTCTATAACAAGTTGTACTGTTTAACAGTTTTAATATTACAAAGAGAAGTAGTAGTATTTCAAACACATTAGTTTTCACAGTTCTTAAGAACAGTTTTACTTGTTAAATAAATAATCTTCAACAGCTGAGAATTGAATATTATTTGTTACTTTTTTTTCAATTGGAATTATTTCTTATTTTCTTTGGTTAAATGTGCCTCGTATTTAAATCACTATGCATCATATTATTTCAAAATATATTTTTATGTTTCAAAATATTTGACATTCCTAATCTATATTACCCCTGTCAATATTTCTGATCACTGCAGTTTTTTAAATATATAATATACACAAAAAAATTATATTCGTACAAATATTTTGCAATTACCAGATGTCATTTTATATTTATAAAGTAACTGAATGTGTGTGTGTGAAATTAAGTGTGTGTAAGAATTGAGATGTGAAGAATGTCTTTTTATTTATAGGATTAATAAAACAATTAATTTCTAACTTCAAAATTTGACTTTAGACTCGGTGTGTTTGAAAAGTTTAGTGCTTGTGTGTTTCCTTTTTTTTTAAATAAAATTATGTATGTTGTATTTGGGTTCATTGTCTTTGCCAGTTTAGTAAGTGCTTATAAGTTTTTTTTTTTATTGAGTAACATGTTAAAGAAAAATTTATATACCAGATGAAGAATTTATGGTAAGTGTGCTTTTGTAGTCTGTCAGAAATTTAAGGTTTCATGTGAAATATAACAGTTAAATATTATCTTGAACTTAGATATGGTGACTATTAATTAACAGTTTTTTTTAGTATAAGCTTAGAAAAACAGAATGCAAGTGTAGTTTTTAAGCACAGATTTTCTGTTTTAGTTTCCTGAGAAATTTTGTGGTTGTAGAATAAGTTAGGTAACTAATCAATATCATCAATTACCTGAATTAGTGTCATGTGAATAATTACCGATATTAAGATTGACTCTCTCGCTACACGTAGGTCAAAGTGCACGTCACAGTTTTTAGTAAGTTACATTCAAAATTTAGTTTATTATCATTGTATGCAAATAAACTTGGCATCAAAATGTAGTTATTAAGTCAAATTTTAATATTATATAAGTAAATATCTTCAATCTCCCCTAGTATGAGAATTGTGACATGCTTTCTAGGTCTTCCTTTTTGATTTATTTATCACCCCTCTGAGAAGTACAGAATTTAACATAAACTTCTCATTATAACATAGCTATTACTAAGGTATAGCATAATTTTTATAGCCTTCAGTATTATTTGTTTACAGAGCCATAAACTAGAAAATCAGACTCGGTTGCCATGCCAGTCTGTCACATCTTCTCTTATGTTTTAACCAATAGAAAGCTGAATGTTTAATCTATCAAATAATGTATCATATTATGTTTTTTTAGAGTATTATCTATTTCACTTCCAGTGTAAAAATCTCTCTCTTGTGGTATTCACATCAACAAAATTAGCTACATTTTTTAAAGGCTCTTATCGCACAGTTATAAAGCCAGATAAAGTATGATAGTTATAGAATATTGTTTGCTTTGTGTGTGATATTATTCTGTGTTATTAGGTGCATTATTTAATTAAATGAAAAATTTAGTGCTCTAGTATCATTTGTACAAAAAACAAGTCTTAACTTTTATCCACAGTTGGCAGCAAAATAGTGAGGATGCAGGTAAGTACTGTATTTCTTATTTTTCATGTGTGTTCTTTATTTATTATTATAAAAGTAACTAAAATGTAAAAATTAGAAACTTGTTAGGTAAGATAATGAAAAAAAGATAAAATAATTCTTCACAAGGTATGCTAGCAAGCAGCTCATGAGTTTTGTAATTCAATATGGTAACTTGAATTATGCTTTTGCTGAGGGATTCACAACTTGTGTGATGGGTTTATTAGTTAGACATGGATCAAAGGGTAATGAAACAACATTTAAGTATTAACAGATGTATACTGTATATGAGTTTTAAGCTACTTAGGATAAGCAATTGTTATTTTCCGTCACAAATTGCTGTCAATCTAGAAAGATAAAAGGGGTAATTTAGACTTTTTCCCTATTTGTTATCGTGGTTATGACATTTGTCAAATTGACTGAATGCATGTAGAGTTAGGGTAGAGAAAAATAACAGATAAAATATAAAGTTTTACTGAAAAAATGCCTTTGATATTTATTTAGGAGGTTTTAGAGATTATGTAAATGAAAGTTGGTAATTTTCAGATTAAGAGTATTTTTAATCTTAATATGAGAATCACTTTGCACTTGGAGCAGTCAACATTGATACTTTGCACTTGGAGCAGTCAACATTGATTCCATATATTCACAGACATATGTTTAGTAAGAATACTTAACTAAAAAAATCTGTAACGTTTACCGAAAGCTTGACAAATTTTTGTGAAGGTACACAAAACATGTTAAAAAAAGTTATAGTATAAAAATTGATGGTCACTTTGGGGTTACACACTTGGTTGTATTGGCTTGAACTGGTTCAAGAGGGTTTAATATATTTTACAAAAAATAATTCATTAATCATAACTACTGTTATTTCAACTCTCATAGAGAGTGACTGATTTGTTTAATGTAATTGAAGAATGAACACGACAATTAATCAATTTCCTTAATTGCTCAGCTCTATTTATAATTATTTATCCTTTGTCTTTCTTTGAATATTTATATCCTGCTAATTACGATAAATACGTGCACTTATCTTTGTTGATTGAAGTTAAACTTAGTGATTGATTATTTTGGTTTAGACTAGCCCTTCTTTACCAGACCTTGTTCCCCCTCCTCCAATGAGTGGTTATGGAGATACAATTGTTGCTAGCAATCCTTTTGACGATACTCCTATTGTGAATAACACAGGACAGACAATGATGGTTCCATCTTCAGTACCAAACATGAATTCAGTTAGCAGTCCTTCTTTAAATAACAAGCCAGTGCCCTTAGGCTCAGGAAAGGTGAGTTTTATTACTTCTTTGCTAAAATAAAAATATCCTAAAAGTGGTGATTACACACCCAATTACTTTTATACGTTCATTTTATTGTTTGTAAAAGCTGAAAAATAGTTGCTTTTTAAGTAACCTGTTCTTACACCATATTACTTGCTCAAACGTGTGTGTACGTGCTTTCCAGACACGTATGTGTGACTTTTTTTTAATTATGTAAAGTATTATCTGAAGAAATGATATACAAATTATGTAAAGTATTATCTGAAGAAATGATATACAAATTATGTAAAGTATTATCTGAAGAAATGATATACAAATTATATGTATCTTACATAGTGAATTGATCATTTTGTTAGTTAACATACATATAACTTGAACAAGTCCTATTACATATTCTTCATTGTCTAAAGAATTAGTTCTGAGTAACTAAAGAAGTCATAAAAAAATATTAGTGTATCATAAACTTCAGTAGCAGGATTATGTTTCAGGAATCCAGTTACAATAATATGATATTAATACGAACTTTATTTTTTCCTTGTTTTTCGAATGCATAACAATTTAACATAGCTGGGAAAAAAAAAGATAAATGGAATGCATTTTCCTTTCTTTTTGCAGTAGCTTTTATGAGTTCTCATTAAACTTTATATTACTACTTTCATATGTGTTGAAAATACATTTAATTTAATATGTGATCAATGTTTTTGGTAAATAATCACTCGTCATTTTTGGTCTGTTTGCTTACAGCTTCGAAACAATTATGAGAAAGGAAAGGCTTATATGTTGTTCTAGAATGTGCATAAATGTCCTGAGATACTTAGTAATTAGTATATGCTAAGTAAAAAGAATTTGTAATTAATAAATAATTCGTTGTTTCTGTAAGCTACTAAACATGATTGATTGATATCCTACTGTAACAACCTTACAATAACTACTTAGACCTATTACAGCCTTGGAGTTCATAAAGAATTCAGTTAACTGTAAGTTTAGCTAAAACAGATAAGCTTTCCATAATTTCTTCCATGATTATAAAGAAAATAATTTTATTCCTAAAGAGCTTACAGATTTACCTATCAACACTCAATGACATCAAAGATTAATTTAGAAATTTAATAAAGCGATGCTCCAAGGTATGATCGAATGTTATAAATAAACATGATGCAAAATAAGATTAACAGTTCGTATCAGTAATCTTCACTCGTATACAAAGTACATGAATCCATTTCTTTCAGAAAATTATATCTAATCTTTATTCACAACCTTACCTAAAGTTATTTGTAGTCATTTCTAAATTTTCTGTTGTTATTTACTTTTTGAAATTTTTTCTTATGCTTCCTTTCTACCAGTATTTGGGCTGAGCATGGCCTATTGTTTTGTGTGCCATACTGTGGTTCCCTGGTTTGCACCCAGTTACTGACAAAAAAAAAATTGTTTTTAACTTGCGCTTTGGATGCATTATAAGAGAGATGGTGGGTAGCGTTGACAAGTTACCTTCCCTCTAGTCTAGAGACGGCTTGTGCGGATTGTCCTAGAGTAACTTTGCATGGAATTCCACAACAAAGCTGCTGGTATTTTTGTTTTTCACATCTAATTTTCCATTTAATTTTTGTATTTGTCTGTACCTAAAATCACGGTTGCAGCTGCAAGATGTGCTTTTTGAAAACCAACATAATCACTTCCCTTATACGAGGGTAGACTACAACAGATCCCTGTGGAATTACTGAAGATCAATCAAATACTCGCTTCCCTTATACGAGGGTAGACTACAACAGTTCCCTGTGGAATTACTGAAGATCAATCAAATACTCGCTTCCCTTATACGAGGGTAGACTACAACAGATCCCTGTGGAATTACTGAAGATCAATCAAATACTCGCTTCCCTTATACGAGGGTAGACTACAACAGATCCCTGTGGAATAACTGAAGGTCACTCAAATACTCTTTTCCCTTATACGAGGGTAGATGACAACAGATCCCTATGGAATAACTGAAGGTCACTCAAATACTCTCTTCCCTTATGTGATGGTAGACTACAACAGATCCCTGTGGAATTACTAAAGATCAATCAAATACTCACTTCCCTTATGAGGGTAGACTACAACAGATCCCTGTGGAATTACTGAAGGTCACTCAAATACTCACTTCCCTTATATGAGAATAGACTACAGCAGATCCCTGTGGAATTACTGAAGATCACTCAAAACTCACTCTGCACCGCATTGTGTTCATTGTTAATGTATTCCTGACAAAGGAAATTCCAACTTTGAAAAACCCTCAGGTTATCAAGTTTCTTAAATTGTGATGTTTATAATTTTTTTTTTAATCCTGAGTGTTTCCTAGGTGATTCTTATGCTGTATGTTGGCGAAGGTGACAAAAAGTGTAACAGTAAGTACTTCTGCAATGACAACCTTCCTGCAGTTCTCGTATCTTCACACATTGAAGAATTTTCATAGCATTCTAAGCGTCTTTAACTCGAAGTATTAATTGAATAAAAAGAACAGCTCAGAGTTGCTCAAATATAATCATGTATTTGGTCTATTTATTAAATGCCTTTTTTTATGGAATTGTTTACTTGCATGTACATGTGCAAGTTTAACTGAGAAGTGATAATTTTGAGAAGTTCCTTTTATAAATTCGATGAAGAGAAACCCACTTTGAGACTAATAATGGTTGGAGTCCTGATGATGACAAAACCTTGTCAAAACATTCTACATTTGCTGTTGTGTTAAACTTTTTTCTTCATTGCCCATTCAAGCCATCTCCAACCATTATTCCTTTTATAAAGTGACTTCTGTATTCAATGGATCTTGTGATACAAAGGTAAAAAATTGGCTCATTGAAGTTCTTTATAGAATTTAATATATAATAACACTGAAAATACTCATTATAGACAAAGATTGTATACATATGAAGAAAATTTTAAGCAAAAGTATCCTTTTATTTTTACAGGTTTACCCACCAGGTCAGTCAATGGTATTGAATCCACAAAACCCTAATGCACCACCCATCTACCCTTGTGGTATTTGTCATAAAGAAGTCCATGATAATGACCAAGCTCTCCTTTGTGAAAGTGGTTGCAACTTTTGGTTCCACAGAGTATGCACAGGACTCACAGACATTGCTTTTCATCTTCTTACAGCTGAAGTTTATGCTGAATGGGTTTGTGACAAGTGTCTTTCAACAAAGGATATTCCAATGGTGAAATTCAAACCATGACAGTTTTGGTGCGATTTAACGTTTTTGTTCCTTGACACATTACACTATGTTTTAACTTCCTCGTTTTCAATTATAAAACACATACCATTGCATCTATACATTAACATTTCGATTGATGTATTTGAGTGGCTCATTTCTTGAAGTTTAATATTCCTATTGTAAGATATAAGGCCTAACACATGAACTGTGTATATAAATGAACAAATAAGCAGGGCAGTTTATCAATTATTACTAAAATTAATGCTAAAATTTACATCATTCTTTGCCTTATCAAAATTTGCATTTTCCTGTGTTCTTTATCTTTTTATAAAGAATAAAATGAATTTAATGCACAGAAAAACATTTTATGCTTTTTAAAGCTCCCCATTTGTTACAATTTTTATGAAGCTTTTACATTTATTTAAAGCACCTTGCAATGTTTAAAATGAAAACAGTTTGGTGTGTGTATATGTTATGTTTTAAATGTTATTATAGTGTCAGATTTTTATCAGTAGTGTATAAATGCTTATTAATAATTAGCTCTAAATGCTCATTGTATTTTTTGTTTTAACTCATTGTTGACAGAAGGGTCCATTCGTAACCCTTATTTCAATTTTTGTTATTTGTACTTCCAACAAAATCACCAATTATAAAATTATCATATATTCTGTATTTTAGATTAACCAAATTAATTGGTGGAGATTTTTATTTTGTTCTTAAAAGGCAGTGATATTACAGAAATACAATTTCCGTATAACTTAATCCCATAGAGCTATGTACAGAATATTTAGCCTGCACAAAATTTTATACTGGTTCGCATTTATGCTAGATGCACATATAATTTTAGTATTACGGTTATCCCTTGCCATTTGTGTGTGTGTGGTGGGGATAGGTTCTAGTGAGTTGTTTGGTGCATCTGAAGATTTCTGCTAGTGTTTGTAAACTTAAAATAGTTTTTCTGCCTCTTCACTCTCATCATCATCATTTTTCAAAAGCTCTGCTAGGTCATCCTCCACCAGTGCCTTGCCATGCGATTCAGTCAATTCTCCATATTCTCAAACCCATGATCCTATTCATTTCTTTATCAACTGATGTAAAATAACTGAAGTCATTGATTGCCTCTATCCACAGCTTCTTACATCAGGCATTAATAGTTAATGTCTTGACTTCATCGAGTGACTCCTCGATATTAGTGATGCCGTCTGCAATGTTGTAGGCCTTCCAGCACTGCCTAATACCAAGCGTTGCATCATCTTTCATTGCATGAAGAAATCGGCTGAAGGTGTATCTTATGTAGTAAGCTTTGAATCTTGCAATCATGCCCTAGTCAAGTGGCTGTATGAGAGAAGTCATGTTGGGTGGTAGGAAAAGCACTTCCACATTGGTATGGGCAAACTTCAAACTAAATTGGTGGCCTGAAAAGTTGTCCAAGATTAAGAGTACCTTGAAGGGCAGGCCTTTTGATTCAAGGTATTTTTCCACCTGAGGGATGAAGCAGTAGTGAAACCGTTTCATACATATAGCTGCAGTGACCCAAGCGCTCTTGTTACTCTTCCAAAAAATTGGCAAGCAGTTCTTGTTCTTGCCCTGCAGTGCCCTGAGGTTTTTTGACCATTATACGAAAATGGGCTTCACCATACAGTCAACCGAAGCAACAGAGGAGAAGGGTTAACCTATCCTTGGCTACCTTGAATCCCAAAGCAATTTTCTTGTCTGCATTCTCTTCCAAAACAAGGAAGTCTCATCTGCATTAAACACTTGTTTGGGCTTGTAACCATTTTCTTCAATTACCTTAAGAAGCTCCAGGGAATACTTCCGGTCTGCCTCGTGGTCTGCTGATGCCAGTTCACCAACAAACTTCATGTTACTTGGTCCATACCTTACCTTAAAGTTCTCAAACCATTCCTTACTATCATTAAATGAAGTGGTACTGCGACTACTCCCTCACTGCCTGATGTTTGCATAAAATGCTCATATAAATTAAGAGCCTTTTTTTTGTGCCATATCCTAAATTCAAAGACTTGACGCTTTTTCCATTTTTTCTATTATTGGATTGCAAATCACACAAGACACTTTTGCACTGGATTGGACACTTGCTGCAATGCTATCCTTTATATTTTTCTATTGACGTACCATACAGTTAACTCATTAATGCCATACAGCCTAACCACAATGGCAGCACGAAGTCCACTAGCAAGTTTATGCAACTTTTTGATTTCAATTCATAACTTTCTTTTTCCTTTTAGCTTTCGATGCAATCACCACGCTTTCATTTGCTTTGCTTTTTTTTTGTGCCATTATTATGGGAATGGATAAACACCGTGGTTGAACAAAGACTGAGAACATACGAGATACTGTGGTGCGAGAACGTGGGATGTTTGAAGTGCAGCACAATGTAAGCATCTCACTAGTTTGAGGAGCAGATTACAGCTGTACTGTAAATAATAAAACTACAATGATAAGGGATAACTGTACTTGTAGTAAAAAATTCTTGATGTTTTATTGCTTTATACTTTAATTGGTAAATTGTAATAATTAAAAAAAAATTAAATGAATTAGCTGAGAAATTTTTTTATAAGATTTGCCCATTTCAAGGAGACAGTAACCTCAATGTCTCAATACTGTATTACAATTTCAAATTTTTCTGGTCAAAGACTATAATGTTTTATACAGGGAAGTGTAGGAAAATTTCAGTTTGATTCGAAATGGAAAACTAGCCTTTCCTTCACATTGTACAGAATATACAATAATTATACATGTTTAATGGAATTAATTCCATTAAGGTAATTTTGTAGGTCATCTTAACTATTACAGTATTAACAAACAGTTGTTCTACAAACAGTAAGTGCTAATTGTATGTTGTTGTTTTTGTAAATTATATCTAAGAGAATCAAGTTTTATGTTGCAGATTCAATATCCATTGTTTTTAAATGTTGTGCTTTCTATGCTATATGTAATTTTAATAAGTTTAAAAAAAATGTTTAACATTTGCAGTGTAAGTAAAGAGTTTATCTGTGATACTTGAGAATTCTGTAAGAATCGTCTCTGCCACCAGGCCAATATTTTTTTTCATTCAGGTACACATTGATGGAATTCTTAATAAGGCAAAAAATGGTTATAAATTATGAAGTTATTCTTAAGTTGTATAAAGTAGTTAGTATATCATGCATGAGTTTTCATAAATTTGATAACACATGAAGTGGCAATGAGTTAATAATGATGAGTGTATGGAGTCCTTTGTTAATTAGTCGAATATTTCTGAACACCATCCAACTATGAAAGTATGCTTTCCAAAGAAAGTGAAATTACCATAAAAAATTCTCTTCCCATCAGATTTTCATTTTAACCTTTTACTGACTGACCTAAAAGTTTATTTTAACCTTTTACTGACTGACCTAAAAGATTATTTTAACCTTTTACTGACTGACCTAAAGTTTATTTTAACCTTTTACTGACTGACCTAAAAGTTTATTTTAACCTTTTACTGACTGACCTAAAAGTTTATTTTAACCTTTTACTGACTGACCTAAAAGATTATTTTAACCTTTTCCTGACGACCTAAAAGATTATTTTAACCTTTTACTGACTGACCTAAAAGGGAAGTAGAATTTTTCAGTGAAGATAATAACTCGGGATACTTTTTTCAGTTTCAAAAAAATTTCCTTTTTGAAGTTGCACGTTTCCCATGTGGGAACACCATATTTAAAATACTGTAACATAATAATGAACATTTCCAAATATAGATATTTTTTTTAATATATATATATATTGCAGGCATGAAATAAGTCCATATGAATGTGTTTCACTAGAAATTGTAACTTATAAACGTTTTACTTGGATAAGTTTTACAACTTCCTAAACAACTAAAAAATGATCTTTAAATTAACTAAATCTGGCCAAAACTGATTTTCAGATTTTTTATCCCTTCTACATTGAAATGCCTGTGATAAAAGTTTCATAAAAATAAATGAAGTTTTATTTAACCCTCAGATTTTCCAGTGTACCCATATGGGAACATTAGGAGGTTAAAGGTTAATTATTCAGTGATTTAGTTCTTTATGGTGGTTTGAGTGGTCATATGATTGTAGGCAGCTATATATATTTTGGTGCATTTCTTACAAAACAGTAATTGAAATAAATATTAAGAACAACGTTCTGTCTCACGGGTATTTGTAAAAGCACCTGTTATTTAAAGTAACAGAGAAGATAGCATGTTTAACTACCAGTACAACACAGTTAAAAAAACATTTGAAGCCTGCTAAAATGTAAAACATTTATGAACATACAGCATTATAAACAACAGAAAAACAAGAAAAAGTGCTCAGTTAGTAAATGCTTTGAAAACTTTAGTACAGTGAGTGAAAAATGTGGGATATCATTAGTCATGAGAATATTACTGAATTTTTGGCCTCAACATATCACAATTTTCGGAATTTTATAAAAACTAGTAGAAATAATAAAATCATATCACCAAAAATCTGTAAAGGAGTAAGATTTAAGTAGAGAACTTATTTAAACACAAATTTTAACCATTCGCCATTTTGTGATTATTATTTTATAAAAACTTTAACTCAAACAGCAGAAAATGTACTAGGTATAAAGTGGGCTAACAAGATGATTGGAATTTGTTAAATCTAATTTTCTAGTTTTTTGGGGTTTCCTCTTAAAATTTGCATAGTACACGCTGTAAACACAGTTGGGAACTTGGTCCATACTTAACCAAACAGGAGAGAAATAAAAGTAGGAAGATCCTGGCTAGTCAACAAAATATACATTACTAATAATAATAACATAATTCAAGCCTTATAGGTGTAGAATTGATATAGTTTTGATAATTACAGGAAGTCCATATTTACCAAATCAATGTTATTTTTTGGTCCACATGAAGTAGTTTGGCCAAAATACTGACCAGTTGCTTGTTTCTTATATCAATTTACACCATTTTTATATTTGTGTAATAGCCGAATTTTGATACAAATAAATAAAATATTAAAACTCAAATGAAAGCCCATGACCTCTTGTTACACATTGCCGAAACGATTAAGTAGATGCTCCTGAGAATACAAATTGACTATTTCCATTATTTCATATGCAAATAACCCTGATAAATAAATACAGGTATAGCTTGGTAAAGACCACAAAATAGTAACAGCTATGTAGTGAACTGAAGAGTTGCATGAATTAACTACTTTTACAAGTTTGTATAGTTGGACAATGAGAGGGAAGTCAAAGTTGATAAGAAATTGCCAGGTCACTTGCAATACCACCAACCACAATGAAGAGTGAGAAAATAGTTCCAATTGTATCAGAAAACAAGTTTTTGTGTGGCCTGGGCACCTAACACAACAGATGGACTCTTGATGCTGTGAGAAGTGTGGAGAGTATCCCACATCAAGTGGGCACTACTGTTACTGGAAAGGTGCTTTCAGAAAATAACCTTCATAACATCATGGGCTACAATGGAAAAGACAGAAGCCTCCTCCCATTCCAGGCAGTACCTTAATTTGACAGAATTGGGCATCACAAATACTATTACATCCTTTAGAGATGCTAATCTATCTCTTTTAGCATGTCCAAATTTGTATGATTTTCAGAAAGAAACTGGCTTTCAGGAAGTTTTATTAGATTGTCTGTGATGACAATATGATGGTGTGGATTGTTGTTTTGTTAACTGGTGGTTTTAAAATGGATGGTCACTGCTGCTTGATGCATAACATTTCTCAAATAAAGCCTTTATTCCTCATTGCCAGTGGCCAGTGTACCCAACCATTCAATGTTTTTGTACAAGATGGGGCTCCTGCTCATTCTGCCCAAGTTATCAAAATAATAGCTTGAATGTCAGGGCATTATCACTATCCCATGGCTAGACCAATTGCTAGATATGAACTTTATGGAATATGCGAGATCCATCCTTGATCATCCACTGCATAACCCAACTATCCAATTTTTTAGGAATGCCCTCATTACAGTTCTTTGTCTGCAATCCCACAGGCCCAGATTTCAGATCTTGAAAATATGATGTGTAACCATGTTTCTGCCTTTAATATCACCAAAAGTAAATCCTCTACATATTAATTATAATCTTGTACCTTTATATCACATTTATTTATTTAATAAAACATTTCTAAAGTGTTTATTTATTAGCATGTTGTGTAGGCTAAGTATATCTTCATCAGACTTAAATTACTTCAGGTGTATGCAGTTAAATACTTTTAATACAAAATCACATTACTTAAGGCACTTCACAAGTTAAATCTATTTGGAAAGTATAATTCTAGTAATGAAGTAGTTGATTTCTCATTATTATACTGTACAGATTTTTAAACTTAATTACATTACTTATTTTATAAACACTATTTAATAGTTTTACTTTGTCAGTAACATAAGAAATTTAACCCTTTCACTGCACAATTAATTTTCAGGCCAATTCCCAAAAAGTGTTAATGATCCACCAAAAAATAAAAGTATGAATTTGACTCTTTATATTACTTTTTCAATATTGAAAGAAGTTTTGTTTTCTATATCTGACAGTAATATTCCTTGAAAACAGTATTGTATAGTGAAAAATAATGATTTAATCAAACAATTGAGGAAAATTAGAAGTGTTCTCCAGTGAAAGGCATAAATATATGCAAAACTAAGTCAATAAGAGGCCTAAATCATTATAAAATATAAAACAACTTATTTAGATAATATACAAGATATAAAGATGCTGTCTTTATATAGATTCTATATGTGTGTTCCTGCAAAGTTGGCAATTTTGTAATGAGACATATCCACATCTAGGTTTCATGGCGTAGAACACAGATGGCAGCACGCATGCAGATTTGGGGATTGTTTCAAGTACAGGGGGATATTCCCGCAGGTCGCAGTAGAGGGACACTTTCCTTGGTACCAATGGGGTAAATCAGAAGTTTCGCAGTCAGTGGGTATAAATGTTTATTTGAATATATCGAAACTACACAGCAAAAGGGTTAAAGTACCAGTATTTTGTCTTGAAATGTATAGTAGCTTCTAGTTATTTTGTATTTTAGATCATGTTAAGTATATAAAGCTCCTCTCCCTCCCCTGCAGATGTACTATTCACTACAGTCAAATTTAACTATTTGTGCTGTTCACGTGTTTTTGTCCACATTTATGGTAATATTCTTGTTTCACCAGTACAAACTTTTATGTTCGTAAATCACAAGCCATCCATTTTTTTTTCAAAAATCATATGGCATGTATCATATTTCACACACATTAAAGTGCATGATAATTACATATAAAACAGTTTTCTTAGGCACAAACTTCTGTACTTTTATTCATTGCAATAACAAAAACATACATAATATGCAATTGTAAGTCAGCTACTGAATATACCACAACTTAGATTACTTGGAGCATTAAAAATCTACAAAACAACCGAGATAAAGCTTCACCACGTAATTAACACATTTCACAGTAAATGTTATAATTTTTTAACAGCATAGTAGCATTTATGTGGTGTCATGCTTCCAAATATTGTTTCATTACTTTCAATCTACTAATTTTGTTCCACCACGCAGTCTTAGGACAAGATGCAAAGTAGATTCTTTCTGAATATTATAATCAGAAAGGGTCCGTCCATCCTCCAGCTGTTTACCTGCAAAAATCAGTCTCTGTTGGTCAGGTGGAATGCCTTCTTTGTCTTGGATCTTTGCTTTTACATTCTCAATTGTGTCACTTGGTTCCACCTCCAAAGTGATAGTTTTTCCAGTGAGGGTCTTGACAAAAATCTGCATCCCTCCTCTCAATCGCAGAACCAGATGAAGAGTTGATTCCTTTTGGATATTGTAGTCAGAAAGGGTCCGTCCATCCTCCAGTTGTTTACCTGCAAAAATGAGTCTTTGCTGGTCTGGTGGAATACCTTCTTTGTCTTGAATTTTTGCTTTTACATTCTCAATAGTATCACTAGGTTCTACTTCCAGAGTAATGGTTTTGCCAGTTAGGGTTTTCACAAAGATCTGCATGGTGATCTAATCTAAAATAAAACTAATGTTAATAATTTGTCCAAAAATAAACTACTGTTACATAAGGCAGTAACATAAAAACAACAATTTAAATCTACAGTGCCTAGATGGTGCATCCTGTCCCATTGGAAAAGTCACACCACTGAATAAAACAATTATAGCAAATAAACTTATAGTTTTATTTATTGAATTGTATAAATAAAAGTTATAAAAAATTTACAGATTATGATTTGATGTCAAACAAAAAATATCAGTTTTAGTTAATTTCCCCATTTTTAATTTTCAGAGCCTGATATGACACTCATTGCCTTCTGGGAGTAAAAAGAAATAGTTTTCAAACAATATAGTGCTAATTTGAACCTTGTAACTTCAATAAACTTATAGCTTTGTGGATTTTAGCCAATCGGCATTTCTCAATTGTGTTTGCTATGATGTGATGTAACTTTGTATATCTCGGCTTTTAGAAGCCATAAGATAGTGATTTAAACAAGTAATGAAAGATATTCTTGTTAAACTGCCAGTATGGCTTCCAGTTCAGCAGACTTGTAGAAACTGGAACAAAGTCAGAAAAGCTTTGTGACATGTTGCTAGAAGAAAAATGTTTATGAACAACTTTTACCCCAACTAGTCTTGATTTATCATTGTTTTTGCTTCATTTGAATTATGCCATCACAGTCTGATAAACATGTTTTATGTGGAACAACATGAGGTAGGCTAAGTTACATCATGTTGCCCTTGACCGTATCAAGTTTTATTCTACAAAGGTGGCTGTTTGTTAGGCTGTGCTTACATTAGGCATTATTGAATCAATAACCACTTCAATAGACAAAGAAATGTGGACAAAATGTATGTAAAGGATTATAAAATATGTTTAAAACTTATTACACATATTAAACGAGAGGGGCACCCAGTAGAGCTCATGCCTCCACCACGCAACATTGATCATATTCAGCCCTAAAAAAAATATGAAAATGTGTCTGTATGTCTATCATTATCAATGAACGTAGACCATTTTTGGCAGAACAAATCAAGTTTAATCAAAATCTGATCATTTTTGTCTGAGTTATAAAGTAAAAATAGTGTAAAAAAGTCCCCCTGTTAAAAAGATATTCCTTTTACCTTGACTCTCCAAAAACTAGTCACTTCTAAGCTGGTTCATAATCTAAATGTATTACAACTTATTAAAAAAAACAAATATCACAATAAAATCTTTGACTTTTGAAATCTGTAAAGTCATGCAAATATCACATATAGAAATAGCATTTATAATTTTACATCAGCTAAATAATGCAGAGTAAGTTCATCTGAAGTTTTAAATAATTTCATATGGTGGTTTTTGTTCTGCATTGCAATAAAGCCAACAATACGACAGTATGTTAAATCCATGCACCTGTACATTACAGAGTTAACCCTAAAACCTATCTGTAATTGATAAGACAAGCCTTACATTTACAACATGCTAAGCTCAATGAAAGATGTATGATTCAAACAGTTTACCAGTTGTATTGCATAAGGTTGGTCCAAAGTTGAGCCTTGAAGTAAATCAGTATACTGTAATGATCAGTTATATGTTTGGATTTTGAGCCCTGTGAGTTCATTTAGTAGCATAGATCATCAGTATTGAACAACTGGTAAGTTTAGGGTCTTTGGTGAAAGTTCCAGCGAGATCCTGATGGATCTCAGTACACAACCTGTGAACGTCCTACCCCTAAACATTTTGTGTGCTACATTGCAGCATGCACAAAATTCAATGGAAGTACAAAAGAGTTTAATGTTTTCTTCTTTTTCCAATAATGACAATAATTTTGGGTGATTTTTGCCCAAAAAACCATTTGGGCCAGAATGTGGGGGGCAAATGCCCCTCTTGACCGCCACCTCCTACACCTATGTGTAAATTAACACAATAATTTTACTTCAAAGTGTTAACTCAAATAGGTTCTCACATTATTACAATCACCTGTATAACTTTCATTTTACCACACCTAATTAAGTTTTTACTATATTTCTTTCATGATCACCCCAGAATTCTCTGTTTTTTACCAATTCTTTATTGTAATTTTCTAACCAAAACCTAAAGTAAGAAAAAACACTTCTACATAGTACGAGCACATTACTTATTTCAATTTAGTTATACAAGAAAACTTCTTGCTGACCAGTTTTAGTTATAGTGATTATGGTAATGTCCACTGCTTTCACACATACATTTACAAGTACACATACTAAAATACCAACTGGGTAATGTTCATTAAATGCAAATGCAGTAAATTAACTTATAACTTGAATATACACTGTTTTATTTATTTTTAACTTTTTATTAAGTCTTCGCCCACCACCAAGTCAAAACTATAATAACATTAACAGTAACTTTTACATTATGTAAGTTCTGATTTTAACAATTGCAATGTTTCGACTCATATTATCACTGTACCTGTGTAAGGTCAGCACCAGATAAATTTCTTACTTGTATTTAATTATTTTTTTCATATGGTATACTATTACTATTAATATTACTGCTTCTAAATTCTACTCTAGTTCTACCAGTATTACAACAAACTTTTTCTATATCCATCCCTGATAACAAGCTATACCTTATAAATTACACTATGCTCATAACAGACGTAATTAAATTCTAATAACACCAGTGCTTATAACTTCAACTTGTTCAAGTTACAACTTACATTGTAACTTAGTTATAATACTGGCTAATACTTTGAGTTTGAATTAATTTTAACATCTTGAATGGGAAAAAACTTCAAAAATGCGTGCCATCTTTTCAAAATTCGCTTAACGTTCGTAAAGAATTAGTCTATAATTTTCAAGAAAGAGAAAAACCTCACCACTATTAGTATTATAAATTCTCAACAACTGTACTACACGGCTTCTGCTCAATTTACAAACTTGAAAATGGTGTGGTCAAATTCGCTAACTACGTCGCAGGAGCTTAGCTATGTAATTTTCGTTCCTCTGATTGGTTATCTTCAGGCTGCAATAACGTGATTTGAAAAACAAAAAACTATCTGATCATCAGCTAAATCAAATAATTCTATTTTACACGCCTGCTGATGTCATTAACAAATAATCGTTGATGAAGGAATTGTGCATATTTACTGCTATAAAAAGTGAGTATTGAACTTTGTCAAATTCCAGAGCAGCGGAAGCATTTCAACTAAAGAGTTTGTTTATCACTTTTTCTGTTATTATTATTATTCGATATAAATAAAGTGTAGTAACACCATAATCCCCCTTATGCTTTCATACATTGCAAATATTTTTTGTCTTGTATATACATACTGCTGTAACGTGTTCTAACGTTGGCGGGGTATTTTAGATTATTTGGTTAAAATAACACCAAATCCAGACCATGTAATGATACCGAAATGGTTTATTTGTTATCTAAAGTTTGCTGTAAGCTATTTTCACTAGTAGTCCTAACTTTACAAATAACCTTCAAACACAAATTCCGAGACTATTGATAAGAATATCTCACAAATAAACTTACTTGTTAATATTATTTTCTGATGCTAATTATGAATAACAAACACGCTAATTATATCACTCTTTAGTTTACTAACTGAATAACTTACTAACTGGCACTGAACTGATTCATTCATTAACTCACTGATTCTTGTGTTTACATCGTACCGTTTTTTTATTTATTGCGTAAAATGTAAAGATTCTGCAGAAGGTCATTTAAACAATTCTAATATACAAATAAAGCAGTAAAGTAAACTATATATTTACCAATTCTTTTTGGTGGTTTTCTCTGAATGGATATGGTAGGTATGCAAAGGGGATGACCTCTTGTTCCTCATTGTCACTTGCTGTCTTGTATTGGGAGTGTTTTTCCTGGGTAGGTGGTCAAGCAGATGCACTAGTTGCTTTGTCTTTGGTGATCCTGTGGAAGTGGTCTGGAGGGGAAACTTGAGCTTTTCAGCATGTTGATTTTCCACTGGCAAATTATTCTCTAAAATTACCCAGTTGGCCATTCTGTCACCGATGTACTTCAAATATTATCACAGTGGACAGCCTTCAGCTTGAACCACCGTCCTTCTGGATTTTGTAAACTGCATCATTGATTCTTTTCCGTACAACATATATCGAATCACAACACCTGCTTAACTTTATAGTACGTCGTATGTAGTGTGCATCTTGATGGAATTCAGTCTTATTATCATTGACATCATAGCAACTTTTCATGTTATCACCAGCCCAGGTTTGAGTCATGTGTGACATCAATAATGTTCCTTAGTCTTTCTGTATATCCTGTGTGAGATTCTGCTGAGTCTTTATCCTTCAGATGTGAGTACAGAGTGTTAAATGGCACTTTAAGTTCTCTTCTAAACATCAGAGATCATCGTGTATTGCTTGTAGCTGCATGTACTGCCTTTAAATAACTCATGAGTAGAAGTGGATGATCGAGATCTACGTTTTCTAATGTTCATCCACATAAATTGTTAATTGATTCGAAAGTTTATGGTTGTAAATCATCCCCCTGCCTTTGGAAAGTGAAAGAAGGGCTTTTGTCTAGATTTTTTTTATTATTCCAGGGATTTGACACACTTTCATAAACACCTCAAGTTTTGAAATATATTCACTGACGAGTTTACTTACTGGAGTTTCTTCCTTCTAATTAGAAATATCATATGCTTTTCGCCATTTAGTGAAAGGATCTAATATAACACAGTGCTGTGGAAGTACTTACCATAGTCGTTATTTCTGTTCACTGGTATCTTCCAATTTCCAACACAACAGACCCTCTGATAAGCATAACGAATTTCACCAGTACAATTTTTTGTCTTCAGGCTGTAAGGAGAGACTGTTTGCTATGAGATATTTTCTACACTATTCTTGCCCCATTAAATAACTGTTTTAAAATTCGTATCTTTTGCCTGAGCATTTTTCAGTTGAGTGTTAAACCACATTAGTTTTTCATTATCACTTCTGGGTGTCCTATCTTGGACTATACTCTGTTTTACTTTCAGTTCATCATCTTTACTATCTTGAACTTCCCCCTTTTCAGTGTTTACATTATTCGATAATTAACACACGGTCTTCGGGATAATGCATCATAATTTCCATGGTTCCATCCAGGGTGATACACGATGTTAAAGCTGTACTCCATCAGTGTCTGTAGCCATCCTACTATTTCGCCTTCTGGACTGTAAAAATTCATTAGCCACTTCAATGGTGCATGATCTCTCAGAAGTGTTAGTTTTTGTCCACATAGCTAATGATAGAAATTACATAGGACTCAACAACATTTAGCAGTTCTTTCAGAGTCGTATAATACCTATTTTCTACATTTGTTGCTTTGCTATAGTAGGCAATCACAAGTTCTTTTTCATGCTGCACTTCTGATAACACCGCTTCAACAGCAAAATTACTAGCATCTGTATCTAAAATGAGTGAATTTTCAAAAGATGAGTATGCTAATGCAGTTGTTCTTAATTATTTATTCAGTTTGTTGAATACTTATTCATAATTAACAGCCTAACAGAATATATTTGGCTTTTCAAATAAGTTGTGTGGAGGAGGAGCTATTTCAGAGAATTGTTTTACAAAATGACAATAGTAAGAGCACGATCAAAGAAATCATCTTACCCCACGCAAGTTTTAACTAATTCTAGACCAATTCAATATTAGATGGGTCTGTGGATACTCTCTTTCTGCCAGCCATGTGTTCCAGAAATTCACTTGTTGACAAAGAAATTCACGCTTCTTTGTATTCAGCATAAAATTATTTTTCCTCAACCTATCCAGAACTTTCCTTTTCCCAACATAAGCATTATCAAAGGTCTTTCCATGTGTGATTATGCCAGCTAAGTAGATGAGAACGATGTTTCTCGATACTTGAGAGAGAGCATCCTCCATTAGTCATTGAAATACAGCAAATGTATTACATATGCAAATTGTAACATAATAAATTACTACTTTTCTCTAGTTGCCTCACTGTATACACAAATAGTTACATATTGTATTATATTAAGTCTTCTTGAAAACGTTGGAAGAAGTCTATTCAAATCGAATTACAGTCTACTTGATGTTAGGCTTAAAACTTGTCAGCTACATCACCCCACAAAACTTCGCCACACCCTCCTACCCAGATATAATTCTCGTTCCTCTACCTCCCCCACTGTTGTTTTTCTATATTTAACTTCTTTTTCAACATTTTGTCTCCATTTTACCCCTGGTCTTCCTATGGGCCTTCTTCCGATTGGTATTCACTCCATATATATCTTCGGGTACCTCTCTTCATTCATCCACTTGACATGCCCATACCACCTCAACTGGCTCCTCTCTACAAATTCCAGCACTAAATCTACTCTGAACTCCTCCTTATATCCTAATTGCTTAGTATATCTCTATGAGTAACTCCATATACGAGTCTCAAGGCTCTCATCTCTGCTACTTGTAATTCACTCTTTCTTTTCTTATTTCCGAATTGTATATCAGTAATGGTCTTACATGTGATAACTTTTACCTTTGCTGCATTTCCTATTTTTTAAAGTAATGGGTTCAGCATTCCTAGGTTCTTACTGTAGCTTGCAATTCCGTGATCTCTCTCTCCATTAATCCCTCACGTTTGAGATCTATGCCAAGATATTTATATATTTTTTTCAATTCTTTTGAAAATAATTTCTGATATAGTATTCTGTCGAGCAGTCATGAATATTGGTTTCAGAATGATTTTGTCATATTCAAGATGTGTCTTCCGTAGGAGCCTATAGGATTGATTGAACCCTTATAATGCTTTGTGACTCTATTTAAAAATATAGTCAAATAGATATGGTATTAAAGTAGAGGCAGGCGGTTAATTTGATTAATGATTAGCGATAGGCAACGATTAGTAATCGATATGTTACCATGTAAGGGGTAAAAATGACTATAAAATCTGTATCTGCGAAAAACAAATCAGCATAACTTGACTGTTATGACTCTAACTTAATTTCTTGGACTTTTATCTCGTTCGCACAGCCACTTCTAGCAATGTTTATCTTGTATGTAATGTATAAAATATTTCCTTCTTGCAAAGGGGATAAGTTATATTATTAGATTATCTTATTCTGAAATATTTTCACATCGTCTGAACATTCCACACATGAAATATTATATGGATCTGGTCCTACAACAACTCTTTACCTTTATGCCTTTTATCATCTAAAAATTCGCCTTACATATGCCAGCCCTGTTTACATACAAGCATTTAATACCTCCTTAATGATCATCTTCCTCTATATTGGTAAAATTAATATGTCGTTGAATATCCTGTATAACTAACGTCAGTAATGATAAACTGTAATAAACGGCTACACTAACGAAGTGACAAATTTGTTCACGCTTTTGCAGAGTGACCTCATATTTCAAAAATTACGCACGACTCGTAATCTGCGGGTTCAAATCTCCGTCACCGAACATGTTTGCCCTTTCAGCCATGATGGCATTATAATGTGACGGTTGATCGAACTATTCGTTGATAAAAGTGTAGCTCAAGAGTTGGCGGAGGATGGTGTTGACTAGCTGCCTTCCCTCTAGTCTATCATTGCCAAATTAGGGACGGCTAGCACAGAGAGCCCTCAAATAGCTTTGCGCGAAATTCAAAATAAACCAAACCAAAAATTACGATGCACTTTAAACTCAGGTATGATGCACATATCAGTATGGGCGTTTTAATGATACACACTGTACTGATAATAGACTTGGACGTTTCATGGATTCAACTTCTGAAGAAAAGTAAACTAACTAAATGCATCACACTTATATAAATTACAATAGGATTAGACAGATTCAACTATTGATTGAGATCAACTATAACAGGATTAGACAGATTC